CGGCGCAGTCACGCGCGCACCACACTTGCGCTCACAAGTGCGCAAGGCCCTCGCTCTCCGCCCCGCACACCTGCGCTCCGCCTCCTGGTCCCCGGCTCGCGACGGGAGAAGGCATTTAGGAACCCCGGGTGGCTGCGGCGGCGACCCCCATCTCTTCCCGGTTCCCGGGCCAGAGTTGTCCAGAACCTGCCGCCGCTCCCAACCAGCCTGCATCCCTCTCTATCCTTCCCTCCCCCCCGCCTGCCGCGGCACCGGTATCTGCAGTCGCAGCCCGGAGCCGGTGCGGCGAAGGGGGGAGGGGAAGGAAGCAAGGGATGAGAGCCGGGAGGGCGTCCCGGGCCCTGAGCCGGACTAGGACGCCCCTGGAGCCGGAACCCGAGGAGGAGCCGGAGCCGGAGCCAGAACCAAACCACCGGTACCGGGTGGGCCAGGTGGTCAGGATGGGAGGAACCGAAGGGGGGGAAGGGTGGTGGAGTACAGGCAGGTGAGGGGCTGCCGAGGCCCGGCTCAGGCCGCTGCCAAGGAGGTGCGGACGCTGACTCAGGCGCGATTCTAGCTCTGGCCGCCTGAGAATTCCGTCCCATCTTGCTCCGTAGTGTCCTTGGGAGGGACGGAAGCGCAGGACAAACTGGAAAGGGGAACGCTGTGGGCGTCGGGGAAGCGGGACCAGGGAAGACGGTTTGCGCAGCCGCGGTCTGGCACCCCTGGTCCTGACCAGCACCCCTGGCCGGGACAGCTCCCTGGTGGGTGGGGCCGGACCTCCTAGGCTTGCCTATTTCAGATCCTGAGGACCGCATTTCTATCCCTCCCCCAACCCTAGCTGCAGCCCCCAAACACCAGGAGGCACCCTGGCCCGCGCTCGCCCCCCAGGGCCTCATGTCGGAACCACAGCCTGACCTGGAGCCACCCCAACATGGGCTGTACATGCTCTTCCTGCTTGTGCTGGTCTTCTTCCTCATGGGCCTCGTAGGCTTCATGATCTGCCACGTGCTCAAGAAGAAGGGCTACCGCTGCCGCACATCCAGGGGCTCGGAGCCTGATGACACCCAGCTCCAGCCCCGTGAGTGAGGAGCCTAGAACCTGGCTCAGTCACCTGTCCTCCTACACCTCTCCCCACACCGCTGCCTTCCTGGCCAACAGGCCCAGGTCAAATCCCAACCAAGCCTTCAGGAAGCCTAGTGATGCTTTCTTGAGTCAGCAAGTGGGGTGACACCACCCCGAAAGCAAGGCTAGAGAAGGCAGCATGGGTGGGTAGGGCCCACTGATGATCATCTTGGGTTCTCATTGATTTTCTCATCTTTTCTGCCCTGGCCCCTGAAATGCTAATGCCCAGCACAGTGGCAAATAGGCACATGGGTATGTCTTGAGCAATAAGCCACAAAAGGCACCTGGTAATGTCCCCCAAAGCTGACTCATTTCCCAGTTCCTTGCCAACCTCTTTCATCCTTCAGCTGAGGACGATGACATGAATGAGGACACAGTAGAAAGGATTGTTCGCTGCATCATCCAAAACGAAGGTGGGTGTAGGCTCCCCACCCCCGACTTTCTCTTGCCTTGACCTCCACCTCCACTGACTCCTTCTTTTCCTTCTCCCCTCAGCCAATGCTGAGGCCCTGAAGGAGATGCTGGGGGACAGTGAAGGAGAAGGGACAGTACAGCTGTCCAGGTGAGCTGGAAACAAGGGCCGGCATGATTTAGCTTGCCTTGGAGAGTACTCTGTCCTCCAGCACAATCCTCTCTCCCAGTCTCCTTGCATGTTTGGGGTGGGGGGGAGGGCAAGGCTAGCTAACCTATAGGAAGCAAGCAGCTCTGCAGAAATCTCAAGTCCTTCAAACCATACCTCCCATCTGGATATCATCAAGCCTAACATTCACCCTTTGTGCCACTCCTTTGGATTAAGCATCTTAGAAAACATCTCTGGGAGGAAGAACACATGATCGCTACCATCTTAATACTGAATTTATTAGATAAAGACAGAAAAGAATGTTGGGGCCTAGGAAAAGTGGGCATCTGGAGGTTAAGGAGCACACTGAAAGAACAGAAACAAACAGAAGGGAAATGGAAATGTCACCCCTGCTCCCTTCCTCCCTACTGTCCAGTGTGGATGCCACTTCCAGCCTGCAGGATGGAGCCCCCTCCCATCATCACACAGTGCACCTGGGCTCTGCAGCCCCTTGCATCCACTGCAGCCGCAACAAGAGGCCCCCACTTGTCCGTCAGGGACGCTCCAAGGAAGGAAAGAGCCGCCCCCGGCCTGGGGAGACCACTGTGTTCTCTGTGGGAAGGTGGGGATAGTGTGCCCCAGGGCAAGGGAGGTGGAGGTGGGGGACCCAATGATCAGGCCCCTAACTCCAAAGGTCTTCTCCTGGATTGTGACCTACAGCAGGAATTGGGGTACACAATGTGCCCCACAGTCTAAACAGGGCTCCCCTGCCCTAGGCCAGAGGGAAGTGGCCATCAAACCCAGGATGTCCCTGGTTGGAGGGAAGGGCCAAGCAGCTTCTGAGTTGTGATCCTAAACCCCAGTGTTCCCTCCCCTCCCAGGTTCCGGGTGACACACATTGAGAAGCGCTATGGGCTGCATGAGCATCATGATGGTTCCCCCACGGACAGGAGCTGGGGGTCTAGCGGGGGACAGGACCCAGGGGGCAGTCAAGGGTCTGGGGGAGGGCAGTCCAGGGCAGGGATGCCAGCCATTGAGAGCCTGCCCCCTGAGAGGCCACAGCCCCAGGCCCTCACCAGCCCCCCAGTGCAGAATGGAGGACCCAGGGACAGCAGCCTGGTCCCTTGTGCACTTGGGGGGAACCCTGGAGCCTCTGCAGAGCCGATGCTGGGGGCTGAAGGGAGGGGCACAAGCCCAGGGATGACCAGTCAAGAAACAAATGGACAGCCAAGCAAACTGGACACCTCAGATCACCAGGTATGAAGACATGGCCAGGGCTGTGAAGGGCTGAGCTCCTATTGCCCCCTACTCTGGGGATGGGAGTGCACTGATATGACCCACATCCTGTTCTCCTACTGTTGACCCCTCCTCTCATTCAGGTGTCTCCTGCACGGGGAGCAAAGGGTATGTGAGGTGAGTGTGCCTGGGCTCCAAGTCAGATAATGTCATCCTCCCACCCTCTGCTTACACTACTTAAGCCCACTGGTTGGCTCCCTGTACCCCAGGTTTAGCCTTTGATGCATATTCTTTGGTTTGGTGTGGGGAGCAGGCATGTGCTCCAGAGGATAGGGAAAGTCCTGCAGCCCCCAGGGAAAAGCTGGAATAGCGCTTGACTAGGAGACAACACTATTACTCTTCCTCTCCTCCAAGCCTCCTCTTCATTGCTGAAGAACTACCAGCTTGCAGAGCCAGGGTGTGGGTGGCTATGAAGCCCCTCCTTTCCACTGCACAGCACTGCCCCCCAGCTGAGGGACCAGCCCTACTTCTACCTGGAGTCGCACGGTCTCAGGCTGGGGGACCTTGGGAGAAGACCCCAACTCCCACCCCTGGCCCTCAAGCTTCCTCTTCCCCTGCCTGCCAACAGGCTGCCTGACCCACCTTCCCCATCACCTCGCTCCATATGCTAGAGCGCGGCAACTGGGAGCAGGCCCCTGCCCTTGGTGGGCCCCTAAAGCAATAGCACCTTAGGCCCCCTGCCCTCTTGGCACAAGAGGCCCAGGCCCTGGCTTGGGCATCATGCCCTTTATTCACTGTCAATAAATCCGCTCAGACCATTACAGTTGCTTCACATACTGGCTCCAACTCCTTCTGACAGGTCTACCCCGTCCTGGCCCCCAACCCCAGTGGCCATGGCATCTGGAGTGGGGTGGGTCATAGAGCCAGGGTCACAGATGGGCCAGAGCCACTCAAAACTTTGGGGAATGGGGTCCAGCTCCAGATATTTCCAGGCAGTTCACCACCCTAGAGCTGGAGTGGTGGCAGAAAAGAAATAGGTAGTTCTAGCCATAGAGTCGGCAAGAGGACAGATAATGGGAGAAAAGGAGTTTCAGCCCCGTAAGTGGGATGGGGGAAGTTTCTACCCCTAGAGGTGAGAGTAGAAATGGGGGAGATTCCAGCTTTTGGCTGTGTCACTCCAGATCATTGAAGGGTGGTCTCTGACAGCATGGAGACAGGGGCAGCAGCAGCATCCTGGGGGGCAGTGATGCCCCTGGCTTCAGGTGAAGGAGTCTGGGTGGCCAGGATCCGGGGCTTTAGCTGGTGGGGGAGGCGGTGGACGCACCTGTAGGGAACACACAGTCAGTGCTCCAGAGGCCTCTATTGGGGATATACCTGTTCATTCCCTCAGCCCTACAGACAAAACAGGACAAGTTGGAATGATCCCTTTCTCTATAATCTCCTCCAAGGAAGAGGCCCTTACCGGCCTGAGTCGGGGCGCCATCATGTCCAGGGGTCCGGGGCAGTCCAGGTCTTGGTCTGGGTCTGGAAACAAGAACCACAAGTCAGTCTTCAGACTTTGTTTTGTTCACTGCTATATCTCCAGCACTTAAAACAGTGGCACTCTATAAATACTTGTTGAATTAACAAATAGTCACCAACGTGGGCCATAAAATACGTCAGTTTATCCATCCTCAACACTTATGGGGCACCTGCTGTATAATCAGCCTTGCTCAAGGTATCAGGGAAGAGGAGGTGGGGTCCACAGCACCCCACCCTCAGTGGCTGTCAGGAACCCAATACTGAAACACAACAAGCACAATGAATGACTGAGTTACTAAATCATTCCAAGTGAACTATGGTGCTAGAGAAGGGGGTGCAGAAAGTGCTCACAGAGGTCTCCAGGGTCATGGAGGGAGGCTCTGTGAGGAAAGTGCAAGTACCAAAAGACTTTAGAAAATGTGAACACTCCAAGAAGGAAAATGATGACACAAACCAAGGTGTTTGCATAATTCAAAAACACTTAAGAACAGAGAATGTGTATTGGGAAAACACTGGCTAATTTTTAAAATAATGAGAACACAGCTACTGCTAGCATGCTTGCTACGTGCCAGGCACAATGCTGGGCACTCTACAGACATCTTTTTAACTCATAACAACTCCACTCTGTAAAGACCCAGACAGGTTGAACATTCTGCCCCAAATCACACACTAGGAAGTCATAGAGTGGAGTGTGAACACTAGGCCTGGCTCCACACCCCAAGCTCTTCTATCATGCTTCAATGAGCCTGATGGTAGAAGTTCCCAAGGGCAGGCAGAAGAGCCAAGCATCCCAAGATTCCTCCTCCTTCCAGCCTCTTCTCCTCCCAGAACCCCTAGTTCCCTCTACTCACCGCCAGGGAGGACAGGTGCAGGGGGCCCATCCAAGGCAGAGGTGGGTGCAGGAGGGGAGAAGCTGGGAGGAGAAGGGGATGGCAGCATCTGAGGAGGAAGGGGCATAGTTATTTCTGGAATGTGGGAAGGCTTCACCAACTTGTCCTCTCATCCCATCTTCAGTTCCTATCCCATCACTCCCCAATACCAAGAGTGGCCAAATGCTTGTATAGGGGTGGTGGTCACAGCTGATACACATTTCAACAGCCAATGTGTACTGACACTATGTCCCAGGCATTCTGCTAGCACTCCACATGCATCAATTCATTCATTCCTCACCACACCCCCATGAGAAAGGGATCTCTTTATGAGTTCCACATTAGGAACAAGACTCAGGTTAAAACATCCATCCAAAATCACAGAGCCAGTTAGTGGCAAAGTCCTGGCTAGAGCCAGGGTCTCCGGACTCCCACTCCTATGCTCTTCCTGCTGCATTGTAACAATAGGTACTATATTTTAAAGCACCTCCTGTGGGCCTCTGTGCTAAGGGCTTTACCTCCATTGTCCCTCATCAAGATAGTTGGCGTGCTGAAGTAGGCATTATTCCTTTTTTACATATGAAGGAAAAAGCTCAGAGAGGTCAAATCACTGCCCAAGGTAATGCAATAGGAATCTGAACTCAGATCTATCCAGCACTAAACCAGCACCACCAAACTCTTACGAAGACTGCCTTGGTTTCCCTTTTCTCAGCCCAGCCAAAGGAGATGGGAAGCCCAAGCCACTATAGGAGGGGAGGGAGCCTTAAGATAGACATGGGGTGTCAGTGGGGTGGGAGGATCAACCCAGAGGTGCCTGGAGACCCAGAGAATGAGCCTTACCTGTTCAGGGTCTGAAGATTCAGGTGGCCCTAGGGGACCAAGCAGCTCCTCCACCAGCAGGGAGGGGAAGACCCCAACATGGCCCCCAAATTCTCCCCTCCAGAAGCCATCATCCACTCCATCCTGGGCTCGGGGCAGCAGGCGGATGAGTGCGCCCTCAGGGAAGCTCAGCTCCTCTGTGCTCTGTCCTATGTAGCTGTACAGGGCTCGGGCCAGGAATGCTACAGAAACCCAGGAGAGATGGTGAGGGGCGGAGGTAATGGTCGCGCTCAGGACCACGACACCTTAGGTTACAACCATTCAGTCACTCTTCTCCATACCCAGTATCCCCTGACCCAGAACTTTCCTTTCTTACCTGTGGGCTCTGCCCCCGAGGGATTGTTGCTGTCCTGGCCACTCTCAGGGAAGGAGAGGTCGGGAAAGTTGAGATACCGCTCAGGAACAAAGCCTATGTCGCCGTGCTGGTTCCGAGCCTACTCACCCAGCAAACAGATAATGTCCATGACCCTGGCCCTCCTCCACTCAGGCTCCTAGCTTTGCCTGGCTGAGTCCTTGAGGGCCACAAGGAAGTCTCTCCCACTGCCCCCACCCCCCAAGATCAGAGCCCAGGGTCCATACCCACCTTGACCCATTCGTCAGCATCTCCCTCCTCTATGACCTCCAGCCACTCGCCTTCTGTGATAGTCAGCTCGTCCTCACGCCCTGCCTGGGCCCCACAAGTAAGGATTCAGGACTTGGCTATCCCCCATCCCTGCCCATCTGAGTTCCCCACCCCCATCCACACCTGATAGCCAAACACCACATGTGCGGGGCAGGGGAGGGGTCTGGTGGCCAGGGCTGGGGGGACAGGCTCCTCAAAGAGCTCTCCAGTCTCCTCACAATCCTCAAAGTCAGAGAGCTCAGCATCCTCAGCCTGGAAGGGGGTGGGGGGTGGACAGGGAACAGACATCAGTGTCACTCTCAAGTACCACTGTATCTCCCACTCCTCCATCCTACCCTTAAAGAACTCGGGATCCTCCTCCAAGGTAGTACCACCCATCCATTCACCAGATATCACAAGAAAAGTCACCACAGGGCAGGATAACACTAACGATGACTGCAGAGTTAGAGTCCTGGGCATTTACTATGTGCGCACAGTGCTAAGTATCTTATGTATATTCTCTTGTTTAATCTTCATCATAACCCAGTGTTATTTTATAGAACGATTAATCTCATTTTAGGTTAAGTCACTTTTCAAGATCACATGGCTAATAAGTGACGGGCTGTTACTTGAACCACTTACAGTCTGCCCCCAGAAACTTAGTTCATAACCACCATCCTATACTCAATACAAGTTTGTTGCTATACAAGTCTATGCTATAAACTATGCAAAGAATTATACTTAAATGATTTCATTTAAGCCTCAGAATAACCTGTTGATTTAGGTACTGTTGTGACTCCCATTTTATAGGACCTGCCCTCCACTAGGGAGTCTGACCCTCCTGGGTGTGTGTGGGTAGGGAGCAGAAGGAACTCACCGTGGGGGACAGGTCCCTCTGGGACAGCCGGGCCTCGCTGAGCCGTTGCTCCTGCTCCACCTCATCCTGAGCCTGGGTCATGGCTGGCTTCAGCCAGTGCTGTACATCCAGGCCAGCCTCCTGCAGCAGGGCCAGCCGGGCAGCCCCCTTCACCTGGCTCACCTGACATGGGGAAGAGGGATTAGGTCTACGGCTGGGCTTGCTTTGGGGAGGTAAGTGTGTCTACCCTCTACCTCCTGCCTACCCCCTCCCCACCACCAGACAGAGGAGTGGAGGAAGGTGTTGGTAGGGGAGATGGGATCTCAGTGACCCTAACCCCCAGGGCTGTGTCTCACCTGTGCCCGCAGGATGCTCTGCCTCACTTCCTGCAGCCGCTGCTCTATGCTCAGAGCCTCCCGCTCTGGAGCCTGCTGCCGCCTCTGCTCCAGCCGCTGCAGCACCTGGATGGGAAGCAGAGGATGGGATGGATGAAGATATTATGGGACACAACTTACTATCGACCTGGTACTTTGCTAGTGGCTTCACATGCATTATATCATTTGATCTTCCCTATGGGGTGGGTACTATTATTAGCCCTGCTTTAATGATGAAGAAACAAGTCCAGAGAGGTTAAGTCACTCCCTTACTCATGGTTACATAACTAGGAAGCAACACAGCAGGATTTGAACCCAGGTGGGTCTTGCTCCAAAAGCTGTGCTCTTAACTACTTTGCCACACTGTTGGCTTAAAATACCTTTCCCTCCCCTCTTGCCTGCACTAGAACATCCCTAGTGACTCTAGGAACCCCATCTCTCAGATATTCTTGTCCACCCATGACACCTGCACCCCCCCACCTCACCCGAAGCCCGTGATTCTGGATCTTGTAGTCTCGGGCAGCTCGACTCGTCCAGCGCTGAACCTCTTTCTCCAAGTCACTCTCCCCAGTCACA